ACAAACACATGAGGTGTCTTCCTCTCTTGTGGTGTGTATGACAAACAAGGATGCCTCAGTTTGTCACTATGTCCCACCTACTCCTGCATATAGATTGTTATAATGTAAAGCTCTTTCTTTCCTAAATATGGAGAACTTAGCACATCTTGGTTAAGTCTTAAAAAAAAAATCTAACTCATCTACACTGGGACAATTTAATAGGTACAGCTATTCCGAGCATGGGAAAGACCATATAGTTCCCACCCACAATAAAGTTGTTAAAGATGAGGAACTTGCCATATGAAATGGCTGGCAACACTAACAAGGTTGAATATATATGCAATCAAACCCAGAGTTTTAGAAACAACTCATTTGTTTATTATTTTATTTATTTATTTAGGATATTTGTATGCCGTCCTTTGCAAAAGCCTCAGGACGGCTTACACAAATAAAATACAAATATCTAACGTAACATAAATAAATTAACGACTCACTCTGGCTGCAGTTAAAATATGATGATAAAATTCAATATTAAAACTTATTAAAATATTGATTAAATAAAAAGGTCTTAACCTGACACCGAAAAACATATAATGACGGCGCCAGGTGGACCTCTCTGGGGAGCGCATTCCATTTAAGGCCTTGGGCCTTGATCGAAGAATCTTACCATTTTGGTTTCTCCTACAATCATTTTTTTAAAATTGAAGTTCTTTTTATAAAGAAGGTCCCAGTATGGAAAGCAATGAAACTTGGTAAATTCTTTAATAAGAATTGACTAAATCCAAACTGAAACAAAATTCTCACTGACAAATTCTGATTTAGCTGTTTTTGCACAAAGCTTTAACTAATTAGGAAAAAAGTTGGGGAATGCACCTCAGAATTGAGGGCTAAATCAGAAAGCAAGCTCAGCTGGTGATTGGGGCAAACATGGTTTTAATGTAGCTGTTGTAGTTCAGCGTATTTTAGTGTTTAAGACTTCTCCTTAAAGACTTTGTGAGATTTTCTAATTTGCAGAGGTCACTCGTTTCATGAATGAGAGAAGGAAGAAAGGAGGGAAGGCAGGCAGGCAGGCAAGGCTAGGCTAGGCTAGGCTACTCGTTCATTCTAAAACTGATTGTGAAGCTGCTGTATTTCAAAAGCCACTAGAAAATCTTTATGCTCCCCAGGAAGGAGATCTTGACTCTGACAGGCATTCAGTAAGAAAAGCTACATTAAAATTTCTTTTGCTCTAATCAGCACTCACATTCACTCTCTTTTTGGTCTTGTTCAACCAGTTAGACAAACCCTTCTATCATAAATTCACAGCCATTGAGTAGCTGGACCAAATCTCAGTGTAATTTTGTGACTGACTACCACTGACATCAGAATGTAATTGTTTATGCAAATAGTCAAAAAGTGGAGGGGGGATTAAAGAATGAATGATGTTCAAGCCCATTGAGGTTCTCCATTTTTAACTTTTTAATGTTTTTTCTGACTTTATATTTATTGCGTTTTATTGTGTGTTTTATGGAATGTTGAAAACATCCCAGAAAACCTTGGCTATGGGGCAGTATAGAAATAAAAGAATAAGATTAAGAATAAAAGAATTTTCCATCTCACTTCCTTTCACCTCCTTTTTATGCAAGTGAACATTCTAATAGGAAAAATCCATTTTTAAAGGACACACCCAAATGATTACTTCTCTCTGCCCATTGATTAAACACATTAAAATGTGTTCACTGGGGACAATATGCATTTTAGAACAATATGCATATGCAGTATGTATTCCATTATTCCAAAAGGATGCATTTTTCAAACACTGTCAGAAGCTCAAGAATCGCTGGGCTTCTTCAAATGTGATCCTGTTTCCATTCCTGGATACATCTGACTGTTTCAACTGCATGCTGGACAGGGACTGAGATAAAATGACACCCATCAACCTATCAGTATTACATGTTTATTTTTTGTTGCATTTATTTATCCTTTCTATCAGTAAACAGTATTATTGTTATGATTGCATTACATTTATACCCCACCTTTTTTTCTCTTTTCAGAGAACCTAAGGCCACTTCCATGATCCTCATCTTCTCCATTTTATCCTCACAACAACTCTGTAGAATAGATAATACTGAGAGCTGATGTCTCACCCAAAGGCACCCAGTGAACTTCATGATTCAGCTGGAGACTTGACCCCAGATCTCTTGAGTCCCAGTCCAATATTCCCACCACTGCCATACTGGCTTTCTTTAAACATTCTACTTTCAGCGAACAGCTTCTATCTTGAGGTATGCCAGAGAATCTCTATGTGTTGCAAAGGATTCTGGGGCATGGGTTAAGACAGGGTTCCCCACAGGACCATTTCCAGGTCTGTTGAGGGCCACCATCACTTCTCATGAGCGTTTAGCAACATCCCCAAAATTTCCCCAGGTGCTCAGTGCAGGGAAGTACTGGTAGCATTAGGCAAACTGAATCTCCAGAAGTAAGTTTGAAAAGCACTGCCATATTTCCATCATATGTTTTATGCATTTTGAGAAGACTTTACTTTTTGCTGACCAAAAAGAAAACTTACACCAATGATGAGCTCTTCAGAACAGTCGATGCTATAATGAGGTTGACACTGAACAGTAATAAATATTTACCTTATCGGGAAAAAGAAGCCCAGGGGGAGAACAAGCTGAGGGAAGACCAAAACATTACTCACAGAATTATAAGATGAGGGCAGATAACACAGGATGAATGTCTATCCAGGTTGTCTGGCTGGAGAGAATGCATGGGGAAACTATTTCTTTTGACTAAGAAAGCAATCATCCTTTGGACATTTAGAAACATTGTCCTTTCCAAAACATAAACAGCAGGTTTTTTCAGCTAGAGCACTAGGACCATGGATGGTGGAGGTAGATGGAGGTCTTGGTGAAAAGCAGTAGGGTCAGAGAAGGCAGCATCCTGAACAGGGAAGGGTCAAAGCACAGCCAAAAACAGTGCAGGACTAGAAACAAATGCCAGATCAGGCACAAGAAATATCAGCATTGTGTTTGTATCTGCTTGGCATCTACACTAGGTGAAAAAGAAGCAGCCCATTGCAATAAAAGGCTAGTATTTGTTTGTTTAGGTATATCTACACTATAATTAGCATGCAGCAAGCTTTTTTTTTCCTGATGGCCTGAACCATCGTGTGTTGAATGAGCAGGCTATGAGCAGGAAACCTTCCACTTGGCTTATATGGAGTGGTTCTATTCATCACTTGCTTGCTGTGGTTTCCTGCACTGAGGAATCTGCTGTGTGCTGCTTCTGACGAGGCTTTCCACCCACATACTTCCAAAGAACAGTTAATTCTGAACTGATGCATGAATTCAGCTGGCCAAATGACCTTACATGTGAATGCAAAGCAAGTTCTGGCCATTTCTCTATCCCATTTTTGTAGGATCATAGAATAGTAGGGTTGGAAGGGGCCAGAGGGCCAGAGGGTCCAACTCCTTGCCTAGTGCAGGACTCCCAGTTAAACCATCCCTCTGGCTGTCCAGTTGCATTTTGAATGCCTCCAGTGTGGGAGAACCCATGATCCCCATAAGTCATTGGTTCCATGTTCTTTTTAATATATAAGGATAGGGAGTTTTTAATACCAGTTCAAAAACATTATTGACTTATTTATTGTAAGCAGCATGCCTTTCCTTCATGCTTCTTCACACACATTCCAATTTTATCCTCACAACAGCCTTGTTAGTTGGGGTGACAGGCTCAAAGTCATTCCATGTCTAACTGGGAATTTGAAACTCCCTAGCTCTAGTCCCACAGTTTAGATACTGCAAACCAACCTTGACAAGATTAACCAGTTTCACATTTTTGGGGAAGGGGAAAAAAATTGACCTGCCTTTGGAAAAGGCCAGGAAGAGGGAACCATATGAACCTTGTAGAAGAAGGCATTACAAAGCACTGGGGCCATGATGGATAAGACCCTCCTTCCCATTGCAATCCACCTTATAGATTTTAACCACAGGGATGCATGATATGATGGGAGAGGCCCCTCAAAACCATTAGGGCCCAGGACTGAATAACAAAACATGCCCTTTGAATAGAACCAGTCGTGAATCCGCAGTAAGTACAGATGCTTCAGAAATGTTGATATAGAAGTATGATGACTGTAAGTCTGTTGATAGGTGAGCAAGATGATTGTGGACTTGCTGCAGCTGCCACGCCGTGATTAAAGGCAGTCCCGGACAGAGAGTGCACTGCAGTGCCACAGCCTGGAACCCACAATGCTTGACAGCAGTGACCAGGCTGCATAAAATCCCTCACCTGGCTCCCTTTTGCATCAAAGGATGTGTCCATCCAACTAGCCCAACAGGTCCAAGGTGAACATTATTTTACGAATGGAGATATACAACCAAACGCATGTGTGGATGGTGCCTTCCACAACGTGACCTATGTTGGCGACATACAGGTATGCGAGGGGATGTCACATGGAGATGGGCAGAGACCTGTTCTCCCCTGCAGAGGAAGGCAGGACACGCTGCAACAGAGCCAAGCTCAGGGAGCCAAGGTTCCATTTGGATGCCAGGAAGCACTTCCTGACAGTCAGGACCCCGAGGATGTGGAATGGGCTTCCACGGGAGGTGGTTGAGGCCCCATCGGTGTGGGTGTTCAAGGATAGGCTGGACATCCACATGGTGGGCATGTCATGAGCGGGGCCGGCTGGTGCCGGAGGTCAGACTAGATGGCCCGGGAGACCCCTTCTGACTCGCTCTGTTTTCTATGTTTCTATGTGACCTCCCCTGAAACAATTTAGAGGGTCTTTGAAGCCAAAATAGGAAGCTGTTCTAGCATGATTCATGAAACAACCTGCAGGGCTCTATCAGGTGTGCAGAACCTCTGGCCCAGTTACCAGATTCGGCCCTCCTGGACAACTAGTCTGGCCCTCCAGACTTTCCCCGAGCACTGCTCCATTTCATCTACCTCACCCTTTTCCCCTGAGCACCCATCACTGCGTAGTTTCCCAGCTTCCCCTGTTTTAAAAGATGGTAATGCCTCTCCTAAGGCTTAGTGACTAGCCAGGAGATATTAAATAAGCTGAAGGTGTTGGATATCAGTCCTACTCATTTGCCTTTGACTCCCAACTGCTAGAGTATAAGCCTGCAGGCTGCAACAGTTTCATTGTGGGCTGTAGCAGATCAAGGGTGCCAAGGCTGGACCATAACCAGCACTGAGAGAGTGGCCAGCAATCCAGTCCTCTGCAAAGCATCAGAACCAAGAACCAGCACCAAGGACAGAAAAAAACAAGGCAGAACCAGGAAGATCAGGTAAAATCTTTGGCTTTTTATGCTTCCTCCTGTTTGAAGAGAACCAATCACCAGCCTCGATGGATGGTGCTAGCCCAGAGCCTGGGACCACACCACTGGCCAGGGTGGTGCTCTGAACTGCAGCTCTGGTGGCCTCCCAAAGAAGACAGCTGCACAGAGACCCCTGGCAATAGCCAGAGTGCTTTTCGACTAAAGCCTATTATACATGTTTTCAACCAGTGCTTGAGGATGAAGCAGCTCTCATCAACTTATTTTAGCTTTTGCTTTTAACAGAGGAATTTGTTCCACCCCCATACTCATGAGTCATCTATTTTTTAAGAAGACATTTACACTGCAGGGGGAAAAAGAGTCTCTGTGCAGGTCTAAAAATCTGTATTATTTTCTCAGTTTTTAGATGTGTGGTTTAGAAATCTACATTTAAACTTCAGACATCCTTACTCTCCTCTAATCACCATGCTAAGTTAATTTAAACATACATACACCAGTTCCCAGGAAGTGAAATTATGCAGGAAATTCAAAATTGAAACTTACTAAGGGCACACAGCCTTGGTACTAATTTAGCTCCCCAAAATGGAAAGCTGGGCATTCATTGACTTCCTACAGCTCCGCCATGGTAGATGCAGAAACAGTTGGATACTGACCTTATTACAATAAAGTTTGCATCACCAGAACTTTTTTTATTCTGATATATGCCAGTTATTCAAAATTCCTTGTGTTAGCTTGGCTGACTTCAGGAAACTGTAATAAAACATATCCACAAGATTGGTGGAATTGTCACATCTGGTTTTTCATCATTTAAGGAAAGAAACCTCTGCAATTCTAGTTTTCACGATTATAGATGGATGTGGGGCATTCCCACTTAATGGGATGTCCCTGTGGGGAAGGACAGGCAGAAGAAGCTTCCCTCACAGAGATGAGAGACTGATGGGTGTTTCTTCTCTTTTGCTCTAGAAGGCCATTGCATAAAAGAAAATGACTGTGCATGGGCTGCCCTTTCTTCATTCCTCCTGTGCCTTTAATTCCTGCTCTCTCATCTGAATGGCCATGTGCACTCTCATACAAAAGCACTGCCAGAGGGCGGTCCTCTGTTTGAAGGTGTCCTCAGTTGGAAAGACTGCCCTGTCCAATTACAATTGAAAGACAAAGAACCACAAGGAATGCTGTGGATCACCACTCTGCCCCTGAGCAGGTGAGTACACAGGCCAGCTGATCATAATCTTCTGCATTAAGCAGAGACATACCATACTTCTGCTTAAATTATACTCATTTTCTACATTCTCGTCACTATTTACTTGGGCACCTGGTTCAACCAAGGTATCTCTCTGCCGATTTGAAGATAGTCCAGAATAGACAAGGCCATTTGTGGAAAAGATAACATAGAGTTTATTGAATACAGAAAATGATGAAATATAAGTGCAGACTATCCATAAACAAGCAAAAGATTGCGACACTACCCTTACCTGTGAATGTCTTGGTTCCTTGAAAATGGAAGGGAATGTTCCATCAACCTCCAAAGTTGTTTGGGCAAACAGCAAGTCATTCTTCACTATGCAGGAGGGCATAGTCATTTTCACTTTGTATCATAATGGATTTTTTTTCCTTTTAAATCTCCAGTTCTTTCTTTCCCATTTAAACATAGAACTATAGAAACATAAAACTGAGAAATTCAGAAGGGATCTCCTGGGCCATCTAGTCTGACCCCTGGCTCCAGCCGGCTCCGCTCATCTCTGAAGAAATCTGTAGATTCTGGTGAATATTTCTTAGAAATGAAACGAGATGAAATGAAACGAAACAGAAAAATTCTCTTATCTATTTGCATCACCCAAACATAATAGATGCAGTGATTCCTAGTATGGCTAGGACCATGTTGCACCTGTCTGCTTGAAGCCATCAGGAAAAGAGACTGAGAGAATTGACTACTCAGCAGTGACAAACTTCCACAGACTCCATCTCTTAAAGTCCGTGGACTTCCTTTCGTGCTCAGCCCTGTGCTAGAAAGGGAGTAGAGCCAAGAGGAAGTCCACAAACGCTTGCGGAACCTCAGAGGCACAGCCAAAAGCCTTCTTCTGCATCATGAGATGTGGAAACAAAGACTGAGAATTGCACACATGGAAGAAAAATGATGCCCACGTGGCACTTGTGCATGGCTCACTTCCTGCTGGGCAGATGTGCCAGGAAGTGGAATTTCTAGAACTGAGGCCTGGAGTCCAGGAAGCCAATCCCAGCGAATTTAGAGAATTACCATGTACAACATGGATGCTTCACACATCCATAGTGGTGACCCTAATTTGTAGAACAGGCATGGCTGAATATATAGGGAATCCAACTGACTCTTTTAAGAGCTAAGCAAGCATTCAAAGCCTTCGGCATCAGTGGACAACCCCACCAGTCTTAGTTTCTTCAACATCCAAATTTCTTTAGTTTCATGTTCTTTCTATCCTTTTATGAAGGAATTTACAAATGTTGGTACATTCTTTTTGGAAGACAAGCCAAGCAGAATTCTAATCTTTCCCAAACTTTAATAGCCACCTCTAGTCAGTAATACAGTCACCTAAAGAATGTAGAACAGCTTTCCCCAGCTTGGTGCCTTCCAGATGTTTCATATCACAGTTCCCCAAATTTCTAACCACTAGCCATGGTTGAGGGGAGTTCAAATCCAAAACATCTGGAAGACACGAAGTTGGGGAACTCTGATATAGAACCCTCCCTAGGAGTGCATAGGATTCCAAATCATGGTCAGTTCTCTGTTGCTATGGATACTTGAACATTGTCTCCCAAAATTCACAATTTCAGAAGCCTCCATGTATTTAGAGCACTTGCTTCTGCATTAACCTCTGGTTTCATCAGCCAAATACTATTCAGTATCATTTTTTAGTCTTCCCACACACATGCAAAAAGAGCCTGAAATCAGTCAAATTTCAATCAAGTCACATTTTGCTCGGAGACTTTTGAGGTTCTAACTGTAAATCTGTATAACCTTGAAGATTCTTTTGATCTTTAAGCTGATAAGATTTAAAAAAAACCCTGTAAGCAAGAGGTGGCTGGCTGTATGCTATGTGTATTTAATAGAGAAGATACAGTTTATATGGTTCATTAAGTTATATGTGAAATTGCATTAGAGTTTACCCCATTAGTATACCTCTCTTAAACTGCATCTGGGGTCTATGCTTGACAGGAAAATTAATAGCTTCCTGTGTGCATTGTGCAATTTGAATTGATCTTCTAATACACTGAAAAATAATCCTTTTAATAGGAACTGAAAACATAAACACAACATATATTTCAATATAAAATTAACCAAACTATCCACAATGGATGGAAGTTATTTATTCAAATCCAAAATGCAAGCCATTATAGATTATTGATAATCATTTTTCCTGCTGTGTCAGATTATAATTTTGTTAATGCTTTTCAATACAAATCTTAATGATTTGTTTAAGGAAGTTGAAAAAATCTCCATTTAAAATTAATTCCCTTTTACACTGTCTTAGATTATAATTTTATTAATTCTAAATAGGTGTTTATCCAGATTCCTCAAATAAGTCATTATGAATTATTGGGAAACATTTAAAAAATTATAATCTGGCATCACAGTAAAGAAATCCATCTTAAACAGATCCATTACAGGAAAACCAACACCGATAAAAAGCTCTAAAGATGTCTCATTATACTTTATATCACCTTTCTCTGAAACCTGAAAGTTTTATAAAATTGTAAGCAACTGACTTAAAAGTATTTTCTTTTTTAAAAAATCAGTACAAAGTATAATCAGTACCTGTATAATCCTATACATGTCTCCTCAAAAAATGGCATTTGCTCAGAGATAGGACTGAATAGTTACCTTGGCAGTATTAGGGATACAGATGTGGCAGCAGTCGCAGATGTGGAATGCCAGAGGGGCAAAGCATCTGCTGTTCCCCAACAAATTTGCTTGGATTGGAGTGTGTCCACTATAGCTATTATAAGTAAGCACAGATCATTTAATGCCATTGCTATACCAACTGCCACTATGCCAGTGAGACCTGGAAATTTCTCTTCCCTACTTCACACATTTTGATGGATGGATGGTTTTACTTCCTGGCAAATAGATGGGGAAGAAATGAAGGTAGTGACAGATTTTATTTTCCTGGGCTCCAAGATCACTGCAGATGGGGACTGCAGCCAAGAAATTAAAAGACACTTGCTCCTGGGGAGGAAAGTTATGGCAAATCTAGACAGCATACTAAAAAGCAGAGACATCACCCTGCCAACAAAAGTGCGTATAGTCAAGGCTATGGTTTTCCCAGTTGCAATGTATGGCTGTGAAAGCTGGACCATAAGGAAGGCTGAGCACCAAAGGATTGAGGCCTTTGAATTGTGGTGCTGGAGGAGACTCCTGTGAGTCCCTTGGACAGCAAGGCGATCAAACCAGTCAGTCCTAGAGGAGATCAATCCTGACTGCTCTTTAGAAGGCCAGATACTGAAGATGAAATTCAAATACTTTGGCCACCTAATGAGAAGGAAGGACTCCCTGGAGAAGAGCCTAATGCTGGGAACAATAGATGGCAAAAGAAGAAGGGGACAGCAGAGGATGAGGGGGCTAGATGGAGTCACCGAAGCAGTTGGTGTGAGATTGAGGGGACTCTGGCAGATGGTGGAGGACAGGAAGGCCTGGAGGAATGTTGTCCATGGGGTCGCGATGGGTCGGACACGACTTCACAACTAACAACAAGAGCAACAACAACATGGCTTTACAGGTGGATGGGAGTCTATTTTGGTCACATTGGGTTGTACTATGGGCATAAATCAGTTGGGGGGTGGGGTTGTTGAGCATCCATTGGGCATATGTGCTTGCTGTGGCCAACCAGCTGGCCATGGGAAAACCACGAGCAGGATATGAGCACAACAGCAACTGGGGCACACAGGCATGCGACCCCTGATACCAGACATAGTGTAGAGCCATCAGGACTAGTAGCCACTGGCCACTCATCAGAGCTATAGGAGTCTTCCTGTTTCTACTGCTTTCTAGGTGGTCACTTGGAATATGGGGTCCTGGACTTAGTTCTGGTCCAGGCCTAGCTCACCACTACCCCAGAGTTAAAAAGTTATGAGAACTGAAGAAATGCCATGACTGATCAAACCAGTGATCCACCTAGTCCAGGATTCTTTTCACAGAGCGGCCCACCCATGGACAACTCACAAACAGGACGTGAGTGCAACAGCACTCTCCCACCCTTGTTCCCCAGCAGCTGGTGTGCAGGCAACATCTGGTGCTGGAGGTAGCATATCGCCATCTGCACCAGTAGCCAGTGCCTTCTCCTCCATCAGTTTCTCCAGTCCCCTTTCAAAGCCTCTCAAATGGATGCCGCCCATACATCCTGTGGAAGTGAATTCCATAGTCTAACAGTCTGCTTTGTGAAGAAGCACTTCCTTTTATCTCTCCCGAATCTTCCACCATTCAGCTCCAGGTCCTCTTCAAATGAGAAGTCCCTGGGGTGCAGGTGACTTAATGGTCAGCTAAATGCCTCTAGAAAACTCACATAGAAGCTAGGAAGGCAAGATCCTTCTCCTGTCCTTATTCCCAGCATCTGATATTCGGAAGAACGCTACCTCTGTCAGCCGCAAGGCAATCCAAGAAAGCAATGACTGCACTGCCTTTTCATTTCTTGTGCTCAAATCATATTCATCATCATCATGAAAGCCAAACTGAAGTACAAATGATCTTTATGAAAACTGTACAAGGAAAAAGAGAAAACATGTTGGACTTACAGACTTCTGTGGATGTTTTGAAGCATTACAAAAGTGGTGAAACCTGGTCTAGGGATGTGATGGGCTGCAATTCAAGCCATGCTTGTCTTGAATAATTTCTCTTTACTGCAGACCTTCAAAGAGGATGAACAGGTGAGATGTGAGTTCATGGAGAGAGGGGGAAACACTCTGCTGAAGAGTAGCTGCTAGACAAGATTAAAGGAAAACCATGTCAAGAGAAGAGAAGAGAAGAGAAGAGAAGAGAAGAGAAGAGAAGAGAAGAGAAGCCTAGATCAATAATCACTGGAACCAGTGAAAGGAGCATTATTCCAACTACATTATTTTCTGCCAAGACATCCGTTAGCAAGTAGCCAGGTACACATTTAGAAATAATTTTCTCAAGTGCCCTTTGATGTGAAAGGAACGGATTCAACAAGGGAAATGCAGCATTGTGGTAAACTGCTGAAAACTACATTAAGAAATGATGCTGTCTTGCTCGAAAACAGCTGGGTTGTGGATGTCGGTGGGGGAAGATATTCCCCTTCAGAAATGCAATACATTGTTGGAAGTACTCTGTCTATAGCATACAGAAGCCAAACCGGATAGTGAATTTCGAGTGCTAAACAGCAAAACAGGAAAATTAGCCCACTCTGCAATTAAAATATAATGAGCAAATACAGTGCAGGCTTCTTTCCCAGCCCTTCATGAATCTGATTCTTTTTCTCTTGGCAGGTTTATGGAGCTGAAATAGGCACCTGTAAGCACTGTCTGCTTCCAAGCACCTCTCTAGGCTCCTGCGGCTATCAGAAATCCACACGTAGAACTGGCCTCACAGATGTGGAATACTAATAATCTTTCCTTTAAAGAAGAAAAAGTAGACTTCTATGCACCGGACACTGGAGACTCGAGGACTAGATAGGCCGAGGATGCCCAAGAAAAAGGAGTAAAGCTTTCATCCCAAGCAACTTTCAGCTTTGGCCATAAGGAATTGTCTGTGCGACCTGTTCCCCTTCTGCCATTTGTTTAATAAGCAAAGCAGTAGCTTTCAGCACTGATCAAACAAAACGAGAACGAAACAAAAAAAATCAAGGCAAGGAGTGCCGCACCGCAAATATTCCTTTTAGGATGTATTATTGTCCACGTGGCTCACTCAAGTGAGAAGGACATGCTGATGTTGTGTTGTTTTGTTTTAATACTTCCACTTTCAAAACACTCACAGGCTGGGATGACTTTTTCGGATGTTAATCACATTTTATTTTATGAGCACCAAAAGTAAGAAACGCAAGCCTTCCCAAGAGATCCTTTTTCAAAGCAGACATTTGCTTCAGCTCCATTATTATTCAGGCTCTCCCTTGAATTTTAGCAGGTGCAGAAGTTAAGGAGCTGTTCTGATCAGAGCATCTTAATTGCTCATACCACTGTCTTACCTGGACTTTTAATAAATGATTAAGTCTGCCTTGAATCTTGCATCACGAAGACTCTGTCTAGATACATACGTATGCATATATGCATACACATACTTGGGACTGTGACTCCTCATGAATTCTGGCCTCAGGGCTGCATCTTGAACAAAGCAATGTGCCAATAGCCTCCACATTGGCTAATTTATTTATTGGGTATTATCAATGCTGTTAGCTCTATTACAAGCTCTGGAAAGCTGATTCATGTAGTCTGATCTACTTCAGTAAGAAGCTTTGTTGTTACATGCAATCTGTGTTGATTTGCCAGAGAGTGTAGGAAAGCTGAACCTGAAAAATGCATATTTTTCCCATTCAAAACGTGTGCTTTGCCCATTCAAATTAAAATAAAAACAGGTTGCAAAAGATAGCAGGAGTGAAAAGAACAAAAACATGAAGGTTCATTTGGAGAAGCTCAGCAAACCTGATCATCTTGGGTTCCCCCATTCCCAATTTAATGCAGTATTAAAGAGAGTCAGGAAAGAAGGATGTTTTTCTTCAGGTTTCATCCTGTCTTCATAATGTTTTATGCCAATTAAATTCTCTCAACCTACCCACCACAACCACAATTCTGCATTGTCAGGTTAATAGCACTGGCCTACCTTAGCTGGTGCTCATAAGGTTAGGAGGACTCTATGGGTTACCCTCCAGGTGTTTTGGACTACAGCTCCCATCCATCCCAGCGCTGTAGTCCAAAATATGTGGCCTGCGCCACATCAGGGAACGCTGGTGCAAGACATCATGAGATAATGAGCATTGAGTGCTTCCATCACACGAGAAAGAGTTAAGTACATGTTCAGAGCATCTTTCTATCTGACTTCCAGTTGTGCCAACAGCCAAGGGAAATGAGAACTTAATTTAGCTTAAGATTTTGAGCTAACTCCGCAACAGTAACCACCCCAGGAGGGACCCTGCACTAATATAGCACATCATTGATGAAGTTGTGCTTCACAGGCACCATGAACAGGCAATCAGGAGCACGGAGCACCACGATTTTACTGGTAGGCAAGGAGAGATGACAGAAAAGCAAGCCCAGCCATATGCAGGTGCAGGGCCGCTGACCGCTGACTCTCTGCAAAGTACAGCACTCAAATTTGCAGCCAGGCCCTAAAAGGTGTTGCTGGCACTTCAGCAGCTTTGCCCCTGGATGGCACTGTTCCAGCTTCCATATGCCTCCAACGTCATCCCTCCATGCAAAAGACCTTGAGCTGCAACCAGCTGCATGACACATCCCTCCATAGAAGCAGCCAACTGCCAACTCCCACACCCCCAAATTAAATTACCCGTGGATTCTCCAGGTTGCCAAACAGGCAGAGCAGAGGCAGCAATGCTGTTTGACCTGTTGCTTGTTCCTCCTCCCCCTGCATCCCCTTTCCTTCTCCTTGCTCCAAGCCAATTCCCACATATCCTTTCGATCATTAAATTAAGCACACCATCTCCACGGCATCTGTGAATTCTGAAATTGCAGCGATAAAGGATCTTGCACAGCCGAGATAAGGAAATTTAAGCTGCCGAGCACTTGTGCACATCTTTTGAGTAATTCAGAGAGCCATGCAGATAAAGCAGACTGCAGAATAGGAGAGGGTCTGACACATGTCGAGTTCATTAGCATATTCGTCCTTGCACAGCTATAAATGGCTCTCTTTCTATGCTGGCAGTCTTTAGGAAAGGCTGACAGAGAAGCAACTCGCAATCCATTTACAGTGCATATAAGTCAATCCTGCAAGTCTAGTAAACATCAAATACGAATGAACCACAAAGAAATAAAACTCAACACCAGGAAATCTAGCAATCAAAACAGCTGAATTCTATAGATTCCAAGCAACTGAAAAGCTACCCCATCAAGGAATCACAGCATCCCTACATTTCACAAGGCTTTTGATAGTAGCAGAAGGGACATCAGACTGCCTCTTCAGGAAAAGTAAGGGCAGAATGATTGTTCTCAGGAGAAAACTAATCTTAATTCTAAATTTTATACTGTGCTGTTGTTGTTTTAACATATCTCACACATAGCCTTGAGTAAAAAGGAAATCCTCAAAATAACTACCAATAGAAAGCTCTCCTCTTCAACACATCCCCGACCAAATTGGTATTTAAAAACTTAAGTACACAGAACAATCTTCTGTTCTCTATTTTGTCTCTTTGAGAAGCAATTTTCAACATGCAACACTTTCTAATGAATACAGCATTAAAAGTAAGCAATGTTCTGACCTGCAGATACTCGGTTTAACAAAAGGAGCATGGCTGTTATTTGGAAATAGGAGGTGAGAGAGAAAGCCAGGAGAGCAAGCACAAATATGACAGTATAACAAGAAATTAGAAAGTTGCTGCATGTTCCCTCTTCAAGTAGTCACCAGTGGCAGCACAAAAGGCTTCCTTCTGGAGGTGAGATCACTGGACACGCACTGAATTTTTGCAATATTCGCTTTAATTGCAAATATCCAAGCACAAGCATCCAGTATTCCTATATTGCAACAGATCTGCTACCCTGTATAGGTTACTCAAAGGTTCTTGCACCCCAGTGGGGCTTCAGCTAACACATAGTTGTCTTTCCTCCCAAATACTCAAAGAGAGATCTCCAGACTTCACGAGTTCCTTCAGATGAGCTCTCCTGGATTGGTTCCCATGGGTGAAATATCAACTAACTATTCTGAGCTGCTAACCAGCTATATACCATCAATAGGAATAGCTGGCCAGAAGCCAGCTATTTCTAAAGAAGGACATGCATTGGAAAGGGGTGTCCAACCCCTTTCTCTTTCTATTGCAAACTTTCATATGTTCTGGGCAAAATTTGTCCACATGGATTTTTACTGCTTAAGGCTAGTTCCTACCTAATGATAGCAGCACAGGAATCATTATTTAGATATTAATGAGCACTTATACAGCACTTACAGCTAGAGATTTCAGAATGCCGTATGCTAATCATAAAAACACAAGCATGATGTTCAATATGGTAGGCATGGTAGGCGTACCATGAGTGGAGCCAGCTGGAGCTGGGGGTCAGACTAGATGGCCTGGGAGACCCCTTCTGACTCACTCTGTTCCTATATATAGAAAAGAGATGGTATCTACATAAGAGGAAGGGAAGGTGTTCCACAGGGAAGGCATCTGCCTAAAAGCAGGTGAGTGGTACATGGCTAATTGCAGAGGGAAGAGAACTCCACTTCGAGGGGGCTGCTATGCTGAACATTTTGATCAAGGTAGGTAGGCATGCAAGGACTACTCGTCCATGTTTTTTTCTCTCTGCAGCCATAGCACTTGAGCTCAGTAAGGTCTGAAGGACCACCTTCTGGCCCAAGTGGTTTGCCTTCAACACTGGTTCTGGAAGACCAAGGAGCAGACCTCAGAAGAATGTGGCCCACCAGGGGGATGGAAGGTAATTATGCAGCGGTACTGGATGTTGGTGGGTATCCAGCTATCCCCCAACACTTGGAAGTTAACTTCTAAGGCAGATGTCCCCAACCTTCTTGGACTAGTAGGCCCATTTGGGAATTTGAGGAACTGCTGGAAGGCATCCTCGGAAAACTGCTCTCATGAAGGCACTGGCTAGTCACTCAAGGGCTGTCTAGGTTATAGAGCCAGTCAGTGAGCAGGAAGAAGCACCTTAGAGAGATGCAGGGAGAGAAAGGGCAATGCCAGAAACTGGGTGGGGAAGAAATGGTGAGCTAAAAAGATGTAGGGGGTGGGGGAAAGTAGCCAGGTTAAAAGCTGGGTGGGGAAAACAGTAAGACAAAGTAGTAGAAGTGAGAAAAAGGGCAAGGCAGGAAAGAGAG